TACTATAAAATTGAAGGAGGAATTATATAATCAATTTCCTGAATTTTTTCAAGCGGGTTGGGACGATGCAACAAATTTAAGGCCAAAATAGAATTAAAAGAAAACGTCCAACCAATTTTTAAAAAAAAGCGAAATGTACTGTTCGCTACTATAGAAAAAATAGACAAAGAATTGGAGAGACTTGAACAAACTGGGATTCTATCAAAAACAGAGTTTAGCGAGGAGGGGCAGCGCCGGTGGTTTATGTAAAAGAAGTCAGGAGAAATTCGCGTATGCGCAGATTTTTCGGCGGGACTCAACAAAGCAATAAAAGACCACCATTACCCACTACCGAGCCCAGATGAGATATTTACAAAGCTCAACGGCGGTAAGATATTTTCCAAAATAGATCTTAGTGAGGCTTATCTACAAATCCCAGTACAAGAAGAGAGTACGAAAATCCTTTGCATTAATACGCACAAATGGTTGTACAAATTCAACAGACTACCATTCAGAGTAAAAGTTGAACCTGCAATTTTTCAGCAAACGATGGACACAATGCTCACGGGCCAGAATTTCGTGACCGTTTATCTGAATGATATTCTAATTAAGAGCGACAATGTTGAAGAGCACACATCACACATAAAAGAAGTTTTTAGAAGACTTCAGGACTTCGGCTTCAAAGTAAAAGGAGAAAAGTGTGATTTTTTTCCTAAATGAAATTAAATATTTAGGTCAGATAATAAAAGAAAATGGCAGGAAACCGGACCCAGAGAGGGCATCGGCAAATAAAAAATATGCCGGAACCAAAAATATTGCAGAACTGCAAAGTTTCCTGGTCCTAGCTAACTACTATGGCGAATTTATTGATAATATGCATAAACTGAGGGCCCCACTAAATGAGTTACTAAAAAAGGAGCATAATTGAAATTGGACAGAGGACTGTAAAAAATTATTCAAGGAAATAATACAAAAATTAACTTTAGAGTTAACATTGACACATTTCGATCCCGAACTCGAAATCATTATTGCAAGTGACGCGAGCTCACATGGGGTAGGTGCGTGTATTTTACACAAGATGCGGAACGGTACAAACAAACCCGTTGCACACGCATCTAGATCATCAACCATAAGAGACAAAAATACTAACTCCCCCCCAAAAGGGATCTCAGGAGGCGGGTGTTATAGTGTCCTCCCCTTTTCATATAAGTGGACTCTACCAGTGTTGCTTGGAGTGCTGCCGTTAAATACCCAGAGTTAGACAGTCAGTGAGAGAGGATATACGGAGAGAGAGAGAGAATATACGAACGGAGATAGTGTGAGGTAACCTTTTGTAGAAGTCAGTTACAAGCACGTAGACTCTAAGGAAGTCCTACTTCGAGACTGTATATATCTATCTGTATTTGCTACTAACCACGTTCCTGGACTTACTAACAGTATTACTCTTTGTATGATTGTGTAAATACATTTTATTTCTTATATTTAATTATTGCGTTTGTCATTCCTTGGAGACCGAATTCATCTCGGAATCCATAACATTACTTAATTATATATATTCTTTATTTAAGGATATTACATAGAAAACATGTCAAAAACGCTTGCAGTCGTGTTTCGATGCGTATCAACGCATCTCATCAGGAGATTGTAAATTACAGTTGAATGAACGATTTATTCAGATATATTATAGACACTATTGTCTTAACACTTTTGAGCCCTGCGTTCCTGAACAATTTTAACCCTTCTTCCTGGGCTCCTGAGTCAAAATTCGCAAAGAATTGGTAAATTTAATCATCACTTTTTTCTCTACCACCGGTAAATCGGTTGTCAGGGCTCAATGGATTAATCGCAGATAATCTGATAAAAAAAGATCACACACGATTTATTCAGATATATTATAGACACTATTGTCTTAGCCATCTGCGCCTTGTGTTCCTGAATAATTTTAATCCTACTGCCTGAGCTCCTGAGTCAAAATTTTGAAATAATTGCAATGTAATGTTGTACGGTAGATATAAAAGTAGTTACAAGTGTTTACCCACTGTTGAACCGGTCGCTAGGGATTAAGTCATTTTTCTCTACCACTGTCCATCCGGTGGCTGGGCATTACGTCATTTTTCTCTACCACCGGTAAATCGGTTGTCAGGGCTCAAAGGATTAATAGCAGATAATCTGATAAAAAAGGTCACTGGTTCCAATCACGTCGCAGTCATGCATGCATTTAATGGTCTATAGTATGTATGGGTTTTTTTTTTTTTTTTTTTTTTTTGTTGCTTTTTTGATACTGCAAAAAGTGGGATCATTAAGAAAGACAGCATGGTGCAATAAATGAGCGTTTGACTCTTGATGAAAAGATTACGCGTTCGAATCGCGTCGTGGTGTCTTATTCGTTTTAATTGTGTAAATCGCATAGGGTAAGCCGTCTTCGATAAAACTTGTGTAAGAGTGGGACTGCAACCTAAATACACAATTCTGTGTGTTGGGGTGGGTATAATGTACTAAGTAAGCAACTCCTAAAGGAATCAGCTACAGAGGCACGTCAATGTATTGACTGAGCATTAATAAAACTTTCTAAATAACTTCTCAGTGAATAATGGCCGACCACAACTAAAAGTTTCATACGTTTTCACGCAAGCATCAGGTCGCAACTATTTTTTAAATGGGCATTTTATACACCATTGGCTAGCTTAAAATGTTACAATGAGTGTAGCTGAGATGTACGCAGTATAGACACACACACCAACCTTCATCAGCAAGTATAGAGAGTCGGCTGAGAAAGTGTGGCGATGCAAGCATTTAATGGTCTACAATATGTATGTTTTGTTTTGGGTTTTTTTATATTGCAGAAACTGTGATCACTGAGACATCGTGGTGCATTCAAGGCGGGTTTGACTCTTAATGAAAAGATAGCGAGTTCGAATCACGTCATGATCATTCCTGCTTTATAATAGTCTAAATCACATGAGGCAAGATGCAATAGTATCAATTCTGGCTCAAAATTAGAAATTTCTGTGGTCACCTGGACTGCAGTAAATTGGTTCGCATCGATATTCTTCGAACGGTGAATGTTGTTTTGGAGGCTTTCTGAATATCCTTTTATTCGGCAAAAGAGATGGTTTCTTTTTTTTTTTCTGAATGTATTGTAGGCATTGGATGTAAATCCCAATTCAGTTTGTTTCGGCCTCCTTTCAAAATAAATTTCTCCTCAAAATATTTTGTACAGAGAACAGAATTTTTCGTAGGAAACCAATCAATACGGTTAATAAAATTTATTAATTTCTCTACGAGGTCAGATTTTCCAAGAGGAAAAGAAAATGTCGATACTTTTTCACTGCTAGTAACATATCCACAAAAACAGCCAAATGCAACACATTTTTTAACCATTTTTATGAAGCAAAATATCACAAGAAACTTTATAATATATAAAGGCAGCAACATTTACGTAATAGCGTTCATTTGCAAACTGGGACGTATACGCAATTGAAAATGATAAAAGCTACGTAACTCACTACGTTTATAAAAAAAATGGCGTAAATATGTATTTTAGTGCTGAAAACATGTCTAGCGATTGAAATAACATCTGGTAAATTCTACGTAATTGTACGTTAATTTACGACGTAAGAATTCAATTTTTAAAGTTACCTCCCTTTTTAGATCAGCAATGTTCTAAGCAGCCAATGATATTTTTTTGTTTACATTACATATGGTATTTTAGAATTCAGCTTGTTATATGACAAATGGGGCCGTATTAGTTGGCCATGGTGTATCTAAGTATATATTTTACTTAGATAATAAAACGAGAGTCCATATCAAGGAACATGGTCATTCTGACAGTAAGATTTTTTAATTAACTTAATGTGTATATAAGTTTGTTAGATAAATGTTGTGGATTCCGAGATGAATTCGGTATCCAATGAAGAACAAACGCAATAATTAAATATAAGAAATAAAATGTATTTACACAATCATACAAAGGGTAATACTGTTAGTAAATCCAGGAACACGGTTAGTAGCAAATACAGATGGATATATACAGTCTCGAAGTAGGACTTCCTTAGAGTCTACGTGCTTGTAACTGGCTTCTACAAGAGGCTACCTCACACCATCTCCCTTCGTACATTCTCTCTCTCTCTCTCTCTCTCTCTCTCTCTCTCTCTCTCTCTTTCCGACTACCCTTTCACTATCCGACTACTCTGACTGACTGTGTGTATTTAACGGCAGCAGTCCAGGTACACTGGTAGAGTCCACTTACATGAAAAAAGGGGTGGACCCCATAACAATAAAAAACGTACAGCATGTCCCAATGATAGCGCGTCTGACACCTGATCAAAAAGTTACGTACTTGAAACGTGTTGATGACCGCGACTCCGAGGAGCATTGGTATCTCGTCTGACACCAGATCAGAAGGTTACGTGTACGAATCGTGCTGTGGTTATTCTGAATGTTCTATTTTTAATGAACTATTGTGTACATAAGTTTTTTGATAAAAAAGAAAAGTGAGCTGACGTACACTTGGTGTAATGATAGACCGCCCGACTCGCAGTCTTTAACGTCAACTATCGTTATTTTTCCGTATACACACTTTAGTTCATTTAATATCGTACTATCCAAACAAGCAGGAAGCGATTCGGACCTTTAACCTTTCGATATGGAGTCATATACACTACAATTGTGCCACGCTGACTTGCACGGCAACATTCGTTTTTATCTAAGAAACATATATGTACTTCAGTTCACTAAAAATTTTAAAATCAGAATGACCACGAAGCGATTTGAACATCTTCTGACTGGAGTCGGTAAAACTGTACCGACTCCAAATGCAGTGACTCCTTAATTGCTTCCGACTCAAGTGACTCCTTAATTGCTTCCTACTCCGACTCCAGTGACACCTTAATTGCTTCCGAGTCCAGTGACTCCTTAATTGCTTCCGACTACAGTGACTCCTTAATTGCTTCCGACTCCAACTCCAGTGACTCCTTAATTGCTTCCGACTCCAGTGACTTCTGAATTGCTTCCGACTCCAGTGACTCCTTAATTGCTTCCGACTCCAGTGACTCCTTAATTGCTTCCGACTACAGTGACTCCTTAATTGCTTCCGACTACAGTGACTCCTTAATTGCTTCCGACACAAGTGATTCCTTAATTGCTTCCAAATCCAGTGACTCCTTAATTGCTTCCGACTCCAGTGACTCTTTAATTGCTTCCGACTCCAACTTCAGTGACTCCTTAATTGCTTCCGTGTCCAGTGACTCCTTAATTGCTTCCGACTCCCGTGACTCTTTAATTGCTTCCGACTCCAGTGACTCCTTCATTGCTTCTGACTCCAACTCCAGTGACTCCTTAATTGTTTCCGACTCCAACTTCAGTGTCTCCTTAATTGCTTCCGACTCCAGTGACTCATTAATTGCTTCCGACTCCTACTCCAACTCCAGTGACTCCTTAATTGCTTCCGACTCCAGTGACTCCTGAATTGCTTCCGACTCCGACTCCAGTGACTCCTTAATTGCTTCCGACTCCAGTGACTCCTTAATTGCTTCCGACTCCAGTGACTCTTTAATTGCTTCCGACTCCAGTGACTCATTAATTGCTTCCGACTCCAACTCCAGTGACTCCTTAATTGCTTCCGAGTCCAGTGACTCCTGAATTGCTTCCGACTCCAAGTCCAGTGATTCCTTAATTGCTTCCAAGTCCAGTGACTCCTTAATTGCTTCTGACTCCAACTTCAGTGACTCCTTAATTGCTTCCGACTCCGGTGACTCCTTCATTGCTTCTGACTCCAAATCCAGTGACTCCTTAATTGCTTCCGACTCCAGTGACTCATTAATTGCTTCCGACACCAACTCCAGTGACTCCTTAATTGCTTCCGACTCCAACTCCACGACTCTTGTTTTCTATCTAAGAAGATTATATATACTTTAGGTCATTTATAATTACACATTAAGATGTAGTACTATGCGATTCGATCAAGTAATCTTCTGATTGGGTGTCAGACGCGTTATCATTGCGCGTATCGAACATGTAACGTCCTAATTTGGAGTCAGAGGCGCTGGCATTGCGTCACTGTGTTTTCCCTGGGCGTGCTCGTTTTTTATCTAGGAAACTAATATATACTTTACCGCCTTAAAAATTGTACTGTCTAACCGTATTTGTATTTATGCGTTTCTTAGATATACCAGACGCTCAATTTACCAAATAGTTCGATGCGTAATTGTAGCGCCCCTGTCTAAGCATCAGATATTTTCATAGTCTAAAATGTGCAGATATGTATATTTCGAGAATTTTGTGGAAGATTTTCTCTTGTAGGGCACTATTTAACTATTCTTGTTCGTCGACGCATTTCGTGGCCGAAGGTTTTAAAGCATTCGGATTATAACAACGCTCACATCTGCTTAGGGAGATGCCCGTTGAAATCATAACTTATTAAAATAAGACTTCTCAAATATTCAGACCATAGACGAAAATAAATAGATTTACTGTTTAGCAAATAAACGAAGCGTCTAGTCAAATATGTGTATCCGCTAAAATAACGTTTAAATAATATATATATATATATATATATATATATATATATATATATATATTGGAGGTGTTGATGTACCACAATTATACATATAATCATACTAATATATGAACATAAAACGTCATACACGCTCACAAAGAACTAAAAGATAACATACACTTAACCCCATTGTCAGCAGCAATCAATAAAACTGTCAAAATGACCAAGGAATTAAAATCAGGAATCTCCCATCCTCTATCCTAAAAACAACTTAAAAGAGGCCGTTTGAACAACACAAGGACTGACCAAAATTAACGATAAAGAAACAAAACAAATGAAAACTACAGATAAAGTTCACTTTCTTTTAAAAACCCTCATTCACTCCTGTAGTTTACTGCTACTAACAAGCAGGGATTTTTTATCTCCTGATGATGGTCATACTGGCCGAAACTAATCGAGGAACGTAAGTGAAATAAGAAAACAAAAAAATATTAATATACAACCCAGTGTGTCTGAAAATTTTTTATTTTTTAATATTTTTTATTGTTCAAAACATTATATATATATATATATATATATATATATATATATATATATATATATATATAGAGAGAGAGAGAGAGAGAGAGAGAGAGAGAGTACAGGTAATCGATCCGCTGGGATATAATCTTGATGGATCCTAGTAATATCAATTATTAAAACAGAGCTCGATGTTTTTATTTTAACATAGCATACGTATTTTTTACAGGAAAAAAACAGAAAATTACTTCAACATAGAGATAGTCTATTTCAAGCCGTTCTGTACACGGCTATCATCAACCTCTAACTGTCTGTCTCGGAGCATTGTTTTAAATTTATTTTCAATGTCAATCATCCTAACAAGGCGTCTACGAGAGGAGGAGTGACATTGAAAATAAATTTAAAACAATGCTCCGAGACAGACATTTAGAGGCTGATGATAGCCGTGTACAGAACTATCTCTATGTTGACCTTTTTTTTTTTTTTTTTGTAATATATATATATATATATATATATATATATATATATATATATATTAACGAAAATCTTGGTAATCCGTATGGATAATCCAAAGAAGGATGAAATCCTGAGAGCTCAATGTTAAGTCAGACCGAATAATTTCATTTAAATGAAAAACAGACTACTTTAATGCTCCATTGTAATAATTTATTTCACCAGGGAATTTTACTTTTCTCTGGATCTTCAGACTTCACTTTCAAAGGTGAAACGAAAAATGTATTTAAAATTTACACCTTTGACAGGCAGTATTAAGCTTATATAAGTTGAATTAGAGAGTGATGAGGAATAGTGTTAGAGACATGGTCGAGCTTAGAGAGGGAAGGGAGAGTTTAAAATTTATATTTATATTTCTTTTTATTACAATACGTAATATTGAGGAAGGTGGGGGTAAGGATAAGATATTGACCTATTTAATCGGTCAACTCAACGGAAATGATATGGGAATAAGAAAAAGGAAAAAGGGAAAAGGAAAAAAGGGGGAAGTAAAGAGATAAGAGATCTACGTATATATTCCCTTTTTTTTAAAAAATATATGAGTGTTCTATTTTAAATTCATATAAGTGAACTTTTTAATACGTGCCAAATCGTTTAGCAAGCTTTAGAATATTTTTTTTTTTTTTACTTTAAACGCCTCGATTTTTTTTTTACTTTAAACGTCTTGATTTCAAATGGTGTAATTGGTAATTTTAAACTGGAGATGGAGCTCCGATTGAACCACGAAGCTATCACCTGACCGAGACAAGACACAGAGAACGTGAGCATTTGATAAACTTATTGCTGTGTTATCATCGCATAGACAATAAACAGTGAGCATCAAAAGGAGAAAAGTTCATAAGTGTGTTAGTTTTGCAGGAAAAAAAACAAAAAAAACCAACAGATAAGTTAAAGTCAATGGAATTTGATTCAAACGTTCATTTTTCTGCTTAGATCAGACATAACAAATTTACCTGTTGAAACGAAAAAAAAAAAATCCCATATTATGTGCGTGATATATATATCAGGGCGGAGATTGAAAATAACTCGGTCAATGTTATTCAAAATGGACATCCATTAATTTCAAGAAACATACTTAGGGCTGATCTCAATGGAATTTGGATTCAAAATCTGGGAAACCGAGATCACATCCCAAATATCGGCATAATGTTGAACACGCGCAACCGTGCCAAGGAAAGAAAAGCTTATAATAACAAGTAATTAGAGAAATTGCTTTTTGGCTGTAGCCAATGGTGGCAAAATCAAGTCGAAATACCGTGCTCAGAACAATTAGCAATTGTGACTGCTTGATTGTCTTGGAAAGAGAGAGAGACCGAGAGAGAAAGAGAGATAAAGTAGTAGTAGTGTTTGATAACCACGTTTATTTATATTGTAAATATCAGACATTAATTAATTAACAAAAGATTTTGAATAAGAGTGACTTGTTGTTTTTTATACATAACAATTTATATAAAGAAACGAATAAACCATGAATGCTAAAAATAAACAAAATCGCATTCATATTATGTGTTTGAAAGAAAAAAACTTATCTACTGTAATATATATATATATATATATATATATATATATATATATATGCAAAGATATATATATATATATATATATATATATATATATATATATATATGCAAAGATATAGAAAAATAGGAAAGAACACGTTAGGTTAATAATCCGAGGTTCTTTAGTATTTTTGTTTTTATTTTTTAAAAACAGTGCTCAATACATAAGTAGAGCCTAAATTATAATTATTTAAAAAAATATATGATTCCACCGCTACATAAGAGTTCTCATGTTTCAAAAACAGGAGCTAAAAACTTCAATTTAGTTATTTAAATTGAATTAAAGTATCAAGCTCTGTTTCATCCTCAAGCGAAATTTTTGGAATAACTAATCTTGAAATTTACGCAGCTTTATAAGCAGATTTATTTGTAAAATGAATTACAATGGAAACGGCTGAAGCAATTATTTCAATAAGGGGCGTAAGGGTTAACATATTGTATCAACATATCAGTTACTTTCGGAATGAGGTCAAATCAAGGTAGGGTCGGTGTGTCTATTTTAAAGCGAATGATGACATTCATTAGATGTATATCGTCTAGTCTGTTTCAATGACAGAGGGTTATTAGCATTATTGTTACGCCGTTAAATGTCTGAAGCTTTTTGTGGTCTTTAAGAGTTGATGTAGCATTCCTTTTCAGCAAGTTTACCTACTCTGTCGCATATTTTTAATTTATCAGGAATAATTTTACTAATTCAGTTAATATTATCGACCATATTTATGTTGTCATTATGAGCTTTTTTTATAAGTCCTTGTTAAATTTTTTTTAATTACCTTGTTGTACTCAATCATTTGGTATAACCCTCCGTTCAACCAATTGGTTAGTATTAAGGTATTAAGCTTCAGCCGTTCCCATAGTAATTAATATTACGAATTAATCTGCTTATAAAGCTGCGTAAATCTCAAGATTAGTTATTCCAAAAATTTCGCTTGAAGATGAAACAGAGGTTGATACTTTAATTCAATTTAAATAATTAAATTGGAGTTTTTGGCTCTTGTTTTTTGAAACATGAGAACTCTTATGTAGCGATGGGATCATATTTTTAAAAAATAATTATAATATATATATATATATATATATATATATATATATATATATATATAAGACTCAAACACTAATATTCCATAGTTGTAAATTATTAGATTGGAATCGTAATCACGATCGAAATCATCAGACCTACAAATTCAAAAAGAAATCGAGAAAGATAACTCCGGGTATAAAAAACAAAATTTCAGTGCGTGTGTATGTGTGGGAGTGGGAAACAAGTGTGAGAGGGAAATGTATGAAAGCTTTAGAGAGAGGGTGTATCGGAAGAAGTAGAAGAACGGGAAAGGTGAAGGTGGGGATTAGAATTTAAAAGAGAGAAGTTAAATAACGGTTTAAATGAGTGAGATACATATAAATATGAATTATTCTCAGATGTAAAAAAAAATCACTACCGATTCACTGACCTAAAATTAAAAAAGCGACACCGGAAACGAGTTGATACATTTGTGGTGACATTAGGCACAATGCAAGATTATCTGATCCAAATTTAAAATGTAGCCAAATTCACACTGCCGATGTATATATGAAAATTTTTCGTTTGGTTTGCATTTACTAACCTTATGTATACATGAAAAGAGAAAATGAGAGAAGAAGAAAAGCTCACCTCCCAAAAACGGGCCAAACTAAAAACGGACCAAACTAAAAACGGACCAAACTAAAAACGGACCAAACTAAAAACGGACCAAACTAAAAACGGACCCATTTATAAGAGAAATGATGTGTAATCAAGAATAATTAGAAAAAAATCATGTAATTTTCCCCTACAGATTACAAATTTAACA